CGCGGGTGCGAGCGGTTGCCCTTCCAGCCGCCTATTCCATGAATCAAAGGGTACCTAAAGTTGCTGTTTTTCTTATTTTGCTTTTTTCTATTTTTGATTTCACTTCATTTAATTTAATTTTCCTATTTTTTTCAAATTCGTTACAGATAAGTGGCGGACTTGCGAATGCTATAGAGCAAATCCCATCATTTACGGCTATGCCAGTTTATGGCCTGAACTGTTTCTCGTTGATGAAATACGACACAATAGTTTTCTCACGTGCAGCTGTTGATTTATTGGAAGAACGGTTACTGAAACAAATGTACAGAGCAGGTCCCATGAATAAAAAATACAGGTACGTCTGTTCAATCTGACGGCTCTTCTGCTCTTGAGCTATGTTTGAAGGTATATGGACTACAAAGAGAGGATACTGAGAGAAGGCGAAGGAGAGGACGATCCCGAAATGCCGCCTATAGTCTGATTTTGAGCGTAAAATGCATAGTTGATAGAAATCTACATCTCCTACCTCTCAAGCGTGCATATTGTCGACCGTTGTATATTCATAGGAAATAGAACATAGGTTTTATGTACATTCGTCTACATCTTATTCGATATTTTTCTGCACTTGCAAGATGTTTTGCTCTGTTCGTGTTAATAATTTATCACTGTCATCTTCCCACATCAGAATTATCTAATCTCACATCTCGGCGGAGTCGTCGCAGTGGAGGTGTAGAGTTGTATCAGGGGATAATTTAACCATTTTTTATAAATTTATTTTGAAAACTACAATGTTTTTGGCAAATTTCCATACTTGATTCGAATATTATCGAGAAAAATTATAGAAATGAACACGATTATCTGCAAAAAATCATCTGCATCATTTAATAACTTACGTAGACCACTCAAATCTTCCCTCTCTTCTCCCTTCTACCCTCTTTCGTCCATCACTGACCTTTAAAATGAGTGAATTAGGTATTTTCTCCTTGTTATTGTTTTCTGTTGTTTTTAAATTTGTATAGTATTGTTTTACACTGATAAATGCTCTGAAACATCAATTTGACGAATTCTATATTGTCTACTGTTCCTCCGTAATCCATACTATTTCTTTTACAATCATGTGATTTTCATTTGAATTCTATTTGAAGATGTCGGCACAAGATGGCTCGACCAGTAAGCAGATTCCTTTGGCACAGCGAATCCTTGCGCTACAAGCACGTAACAAGAGGCAGCTTCATATGTGTGAAGCCAGTCGCACATCACAGAGTGAGTAATAGCCATCTTTTTGGTACCCGTACTCCTTTTTTAAGATTCATCTTGATTATTTTTGCAGGCGAGGGAAATAAGGAAAACAGCTATCTTTCGTCTTCAATGACGAGACAAAACAAAACAGCTCCAGCTGGAGAAATGTTCGACTTGAGCAAAATGAATGATAGCCTGGGAGTGAGTTTGAAGTTGAAATGTTGCCTCGAGCTTCCTAAATGTCTTGTTGAAGGCAATACGACATAACCTGAGCACTCAATCCTCGGAGCAACCACCTCAGCATAAAAGCGCACAACGAGTATTCAGAGATCGTCATCTGAATACACCAAAGACTCCAATGCTATCAGCGATACCAGAGAAAACTCATGCGAAAGACAGGTCCTCTGCAATTTTTTGAAGATTATTACTCATCAATACAAGGTACTCTGATTTTTGCAAAAAAAATTCTTTTACTCGAGAAATGAGTTTGTAAAAGTCATGTTAGTTCTTCCAGCTCAAGTCTTACTTTTAGGATCTCTCGATTGGACAGCATTGGACCCAAGTCACCTGCAGATAACCTCATTAAAACAAGAAGTAAAAGTGCTGGCACAAAATCTGTAAGAAATTTCAAAAAATTTGTCCTTCATGTACTTTCACTGCAATTTTTAGCCAAGTTCGCTTTGTGCCGAAACGCCACGCTCAAGCGGATTGCGGCCATCCGTTTCAACTTCTTCGCTGAATAATAAAGTCATGATTATCAACGATCATAGCTATATCTGGCTAAATGTTCTAGGAAAAGGAGGCAGTAGTAGGGTGAGT